AAAAAAATTTTTTTAAAAAAAAAAAAAATAAAATAATCTTCTGATTCAGTAGTGCTAGAAAGAGAAACGGTTTCACTTTATTTTTTAGTTTAATTTGATGGAAGAAAATTTGTTTTAGAAACTCAAAGAAGAGAAACACTTTTAAAAAACTGAAGAATTTTTCATGGATGGAATATGATTAAGGGGTATGTGTCAATGCCCTGTCTTTCACTGACACAATCCTGTCTTTAGGACTCTGTAATCTCTGCAGAATGTTAACTTTCAGCTACATCCTAAAAGAAGATTTCAGGGATGCGGTGGTTCAGTGGCTAAGACACGGAGCTTGTTGATAAGAAAGGTCAGCAGTTTGGTGGTTTGAATCCCTAGCACTGCAAAATGGAGTGAGCTCCCGTTACTTGTCCCAGCTTCTGCCAACCTAGCAGTTCAAAAGCACATTTTAAAAAGTGAGTAGAAAAACAGGAACTACCTTTGGTGAGAAAATAACAGCATTCCATGCGCCTTCAGCATTTAGTCATACCGGCCACATGACCATGGAGACATCTTTGGACAGTGCTGGCTCTTTGGCTTTGAAACGGAGATGAGCACCACCTCCTAGAGTCAGGAACGACTAGCACATATGTGCAAGGGGATCTTTACCTTTAAGAGAAGATTTTGCTTTTTTGATAGTTGTATGATTGTAAATGCTATGGAGAAATCCGACCTTTGAAAAATTCTTCCATACCAAGAAATTCATACTTGTCTCTGCCTATATATATTTGGTGGTGAATTTAGAAGGGTAATTTCAGCTCAGCTCTCACTGCCAATGAAAGGCAGCACAGTTGTAGAAGCTCTATTGTTTGTACAGCCAAGTAAATGGTAAGTCAGGTGGCGGTAGTGGAAACTACCAAGCTACCACCCTAAAGCAAGAGGTAAATTCAAAGTTAATAATTTCATCTGGGACCTGAGATCTGAGGCTTTTATTATTATTTTTACTTCAAATTCAACCATCTGCTATAGCAGGCATTGGGAAAAAGATAAAGACTTTTTTTATAGTCCATCATTCGTAACTTCAACATTATGTGGAAAACTGTACTTAAAATGCTATGGCAAAACAAACTGAACAAAAACGGATTTACTATGTCATTCATCCTATAGTAGTCTTTCTCAGTACATTTTCCCATTGCCGTCCATTAGTTCTAAACAAGCCCATAACTAGTTTATGGTCTCTATAAGTTATTTACAGTTCCTTTCTAGTATTTCTCTCTGGAGTGACCTCCTGCTCCCTATGCAGCTGCTTTGAAATCTGTAGAAAAATGTTTTCCTTTCCCTTCCCCTTTCTCTCTCTTTAGTGACAATCTCTATGCTATGTTAGCTTTGTAAATGACATGGTTGATTTCTCTATTTAGAGCTTCTTTATATACAGTACTAGCTTCATTTTTACAACAAAAAAGCTCATTATGCACAATGGGGATAAGGAAGGTCTTCCCTTTATTGACTCCTAAAACAGGAGCAGCTTGATTTTATATTTTTTCCTTTATTCATCTAACTTAGTCTAGTGCCAACTGTCAAGCTCTCCTGGCAGTTTGTAGAAAAAGCTTTCTTCACTGGTCCAACTTATTCCTCTTAGTAGAACTGATTGGAAGACAAATGCTTCTATCTGTAAAATGCAGGTTAGTAATACTAAAGAGGTGGAAGTTTCAGATCAGTTCCTTCTTGTGAAATTTTTGTTGTAGATATTCACAGCGTGTTTAAAATATTCTTCAAAGTGGCCTTTTTCAGGGGTGAAATTCAGCAGGTTCTGACAGGTTCTGGAGAACCAGTAGTGGAATTTTTAAGTAGTTCTGAGAACTGGCAGATACTACCTCTGGCTGGCCCCAGTGTGAGGTGGGAATGGAGATTTTGCAGTATCCTTCCCCTGGAGTGGGGAGGGAATGGGGATTTTGCAATATCCTTCCCCTGCCACGCCCACCAAACCACACCCATAGAACTGTAATAAAAAAAATGAATTTCACCCAGAGACTTGCAGTGAGCCTCATGGCTGGTGAGGCAAGAGCGAAAGCCCCGTCGAAGCCCAGGACCCACTTTATGGCGGACGCAGGTGCCGGGACTTTAAAGCCCTGCCGCTGGG